AAAAACAGAGAGCTGCATGTGCAGAGGAAGCAAGGGGAGAGTGCTGGCTGCGAGAGATGCAGGAGATAGCCAGAAAAATTTAAGGGAAATGGAGCCCGGAATTAGTTCCTGAAAGAAGAAGAAAGAAACCCAGAAGAAACATAGAGGCTATAAGAGAGAGACAACAGATGGCAGAGAGAAAGGAATGGAAGAAGAGTCCCAGAGAGATACTTATTTGGGAAGCTGAAGTGAGGTTCCTGGGGACCCAAAAATGAAAGAAACAAGAGTGGATGAGGATTAACAAAGGAAAGAGAACCCCACATTTTGATATCAGTAAAAAATACAAGGTGGCGCAGGATTGCCATTTGCTTGGGATCCGTGCAGAGGAGAAAGGGGCAAGCAACCAAGAAAGTGAGACTTCCCAAAGAGAGAGGGAACTAAATATATCTAAGATGTTATTTGTCTAAGAGAGGCATAATAACTGTGCAGAAGAGTTATTTTGCTGAACTGCAGACCCAATATCCTCTTCATCTCTCAGGACTGTGTTTATTTCCCTACCTTATTTATCTTCTTCATCTCTAAGGACTGTGTTTATGTCCCTACTTATTCCATCAAAGTTGTGGCAGGTGAGAAATAAAGGAAATTAACCAGTTCATATTAAAACGAGAGACTGTGATTAATTTGCAGGCGTAGCTCAACTCTCACAGCTGCTCATAAGTGATGTATCTTTCTAGGAACAAGAGATCCTCAAGCATTATTCATACTTTTGCAAGGTTTTTCCTCTGTCTTCAGAAGCCCATCTAGGAGCAGAAAAACTGGAACTTTGCCTACATATTTGTAATAACAGGGGTGGAGAGATTAAAAGTAAAAATGGTCCTGATTGAGTAGTGTCAGTCCTGACTGAGCAGGTCTGCTGGCTGCTGTGAGTGTAGTTTGGCAACCCCCCCAAAAAAGGATTACTTACCTGACAAAATTTACTGCTTAAATGCAAGGAGATGTAAATAGTAAATGAATGTACTGTTCTTATATGCATGTCTGGGGCAAAACCAGAAATTTTGCTTTTGCAACACAATGCTGAAGAAAAGTTTTCTTTGTTCCCTTTTAAGCTCTTCATTCCCCAGTTTGGGCTTGCAGACTAGATGGAGGTTTTACATTCCATCCCAGTACCTGCTGAGAACTTTTCTTCTCCATGTGTTCTTCTTTCATGTCATTTCTCTTCCATTTTGATGTTCTCATATACAGAGAGCACATTGCTTGACACTACAGAATGTACAGGTTTCATTTTGGGGTTGATCATTAATGAAGATATTGAACAAAACTGGCCCCAAACCAACCACTGGAGCACCCCACTTGATACTGGCTGCCAGCTAGACATTGAGCCATTGATTACTACCCATTGAGCCTGACAATCCAGCCAGCTTTCTATCCATCTTACAGTCTATTCATCCAACCCATACTTCCTCTGCTTGCTTCCAGGAATTCTTTGGGAGATGGTATCAAAAGCCTTGATAAATTAAGGTATATTAAATCTGCTGCTTTCCCCACATCCATAGAGCCAGTTATCTTATCATAGAAGGCGATCAGGTTGGTCAGACATGACTTGCCCTAGGTGAATCCATGTTGACTATTCCTAATCACCTTCTCAAAGTGCTTAGAAATGGATTCTTTGAGGACCTGCTCCAGGATTTTTCCAGGGACTGAAGTGAGGCTGACTGACCTGTAGTTCCCTGGATCTTCCTTCTTCCCTTTCTTAAAGATGGGCACTATATTTTCCCTTTTCCAATCATCCAGGACCTCCCCCCGATTGTCACGAGTTTTCAAAGATAATAGCCAGCAGCTCTGCAATCACATCAAGCAACTCCCTCAGCACCCTCAGATGCATTGCATCCAGCCCATGGACTTGTACACGTCCAGCTTTTCTAGATAGTCCCTAACCTGTTCTTTCACCACTGAGGGCTGCGCACCTCCTCCCCAAACTGTGGTGCCTGGTGCAGTAGTCTGGGAGCTGACCTTGCCTGTGAAGACAGAGGTAAAAAAGGCATTGAGTACTTCAGCCTGTTTGTCATCATCTATCACTAGGTTGCCTCCCCCATTCAGTAAGGGACCCACACTTTCCCTGATCTTCCCCTTGTCGCTGACATACTTGCTCATTCCCCAGCTCCACTCAAGATGTCAGATCACAGCTGAACTGCAAGGTAGACAGAAACCAAGAGCGAAGCCACAGATGCAGTGACACAAATAAGAATCAGAAGCCTGGACAGGATGCTCAAATGGGGCTACAGGTCACAAGAAACAGGTCATCAGCAATTGCAGGCTGATGCCTGAGACCCCTGCATGCTGACAGAAGCGGGTGCGGGGACCATGGTTGCAAAAGCAGAGCAGTGATGCTGCAGTGTAGCAAGACAATGAATGATCATTCATGGGTCAAATCTGACCCTTAAAGTCTTTCATGTGGTGTATCACCTCCCCTCCTCCTCACACCTTCAGCCTTGGCAGGGGTGGGCTGGTTGCTCTTTCAGGATGCACCAGGGCTCCAGGTTAATGATGAAAACCACTGCAGAGAGGTTTGGAAACCTGAAAACACAAGCTCCCTTGTGGTCAGAAAACCCTGTGCATGTGAGAGTCTCCCTTGCTTTTGGGAAAGCTGAACAAGTTCAGCACTCAGCTGGATGGCTGCAAAGGGAAGCAAACTGAATGTGAGCAAAGGGTGACACCTGGAGGCAGCACAGAGCAATCTCTCAGGGAGAAAAACCAGCTGTCTCTGTGCCCCAAGTCACTGGTTCTCAGCTGTTTTGGGCTCAAGGCACCCCTCTTCAGGGTCCATGCACCTCTTGGAGAATGCCAGCTCTTTGCTTTTGCTTGTTTTTGACAACAGAAAAATAATAGAGCAATTATTTCATTGAAAAGAGCTCACAAAGATCCCAAGACATCAGAGTGTTTTTGAACCTATAGATTCCCATTTGAAATCTCTAGATTCACCTTGTGAATTGTGTAGGTGTTTGCACTCCTAATAGTGCTAATATTGTTGTCAACTTTAAAAGCATCTTATGACACCTCCAGGGTGGCATGGCACCCTGGTTGAAAATCACTACACTAAGCAGAGCCTGGACTCTGAAACCTCACAAATGGCAAGGCTGTTAACTTAGGCCTCACGAGGCAAGCATTTTGTTCTGGCTAACTTAAGGCCGGTCCGTACAAGGGGATTTACTTTGAAGCAAGAATCAATGGAAATGCATTGTGCTGACTGGCCCACAAAGGTGGTGACCTAACAGCTGGTTCTGCTTTCACTGTGAGACCTTATTTCCACATGCTGGAGAGATTTCCTCCAAAGCACGTGCTCAAAGCTGCAGGTGGGTAACTCCTTGGCTCTCTTGCCTAGCTCTAGGCATGATGGGATTGTTTCCATGGCCAATGGTGACGTGGATGCTGGAAGCTAGATGGAAGCTGTTGCTCTCCATGAGTGGGTCAGACTCAAAGCCCCATGGTCCAACTTTTCATTCTGTTGCTGAGTAGCCATCATGTTCTCCAAACTCCTAATGAATTGTTGTGTGTGGAACAGCACTTAATCTTGCAATGCTGCTAGTTAGGCACATGGAGCGGCTTACGTCGATACATTTGATGTACTGCTGCCAGATGGCCGTATAGCTTCACAATTTTGCTGGCAGTTTCTACAGAAGTTCCTGCTCTTGCCTTCTCTCCCCTTCCTGCATTGTAGTATGGCCTAAGAGAGAATGAGAAAAAGGACAAGGAAGGGACTGAGAAGCTGTCTTTTCCTGAAACGACTGTATGCAGAGCCACTTTCAGTCTTGGGAAAGGAGTATTGAGTGCACGAGAGAGTTGTGCTGTGGATGTGGCAAGACCAGCAGCAGCTACAGAACTTCAGAATGACAATGCACTTTCCTGGAAATTTCTGCAGAACTTATCCCAGAGCTTAGAGCAATCTTCTCCATTCAGTAGAGTATGGCCATCATACCAGTTGTGACTACTCAGCTGCTAACCATGAATTGATTCACACTTGGAGCTGCACCAACTGCAGAGGACCCAGCTATTTAAAAGGTATTTTACACAAATGTTAGAATATGAATGTCAGACAGGGCCAAATGAATAGTGCAAGACTGGCCATGTAGGCCAGTTCAGACCTGCAGACTGGCTTTGCATGCCAGATCTAGTGCATATCCTAGACCCAGCCCCACATGGATGTTGCATTCAGTGCTCATCCCAGATGGAGTCAATACAGTGCGCAGCACACAGGGCATGCCTGCAGTCCCAGGCAGTGCCTTAGAGGAGGTGCTTTAGTGGCAGTCACCAAGAGAGTCTTTTCTACAGCCCTGCACCCTGGCAGTGGCAGCCATGATCTTTGGGTTCCCCAGGCAGCTAAGACTGAGGACTCTGGCGCCCTTACCTGTTCCCCAGTACTTGGCACTCCCACCCCTCTCTCCAGCAGGACTTTGCCCAGGGAACAAAAATTGTTAGTTACTTCTCTGTTGAGTGATGCCTCCAATTATAAGTGCCCAGCTGTGTTCTACACAACATCCATGAAAGCAAGGGAGAGAGCTTCACCAAGGTCTGAACTTCCAGGACACACTGAAGCCATGGCATACGCTACCTTCATCAGAGACAAATGGCAGAGACCTATTATCAGGGATACTTTTAGACGTATTTTAGATACGTGCTGGGTCAGGCCCTGCTGGGGTAACCTTTTTGCTACAAGGTGCTGGTTTGGCATGCTCTGCCCATCCACATCCATTCCAAACACAATGGTGCATGTCTATTAGCAGCCAGAGGGCTGTATGCGATTGATCTGCAAGATTTGCTCTGCCTTCTTTTATGTCCACGTCTAAGTGCAAGGCCAATCTGACCTTTTAGGCCTGCAGATCTATGCTAGTCATTCTTTGTAAGTGGGGTTAGTTATACCCACTTTGCAGATCCCTTTTTATTTTCAGTATCCACAAATTTTGCAAACAGCAGAACTCTGGTTGATGGCTAAAAGGAAAAGAGGACATCTTTAAAATTTAAGCAACTTGACTTTATTGTCCTAAAAATGCAAACAGAACAAAAAGTGACTGAAGTTTAAACAGTGAGAACACTGATAACTAAACAAATAGCAGAGGTGTAAGTTAAGGACAAGGTACATTTAAGTTAAAAGCTTGAAGTGGAAAGACACAGTCACAGAAACCTGTCTTCCTATGGGAGGCCAGTAAGAGAATTTGTGGCATGGCTGTAGTGTGGCACCAACTCCCTGTTTGGATTGGTTCAAAGGAGCCCAGCTTCTTGCCAGGTTTGTAGGAGCTGAAGCAGGGTGCCTTATTGGTGATCCCCAGCTCCCAAAAGGACATGTTCTGTAGAGTCAAGAGCAGCAGGACTGGTAGGCCCTGAGGCCACTGTGCAGCAGTGTGGTGCTGATAGGGAAGATGGTATAAGGCAAGCAGCAGCTTGGGTAGACCATGCTCCAGTAGCATCATTGTCAGCTGCCTCTGCACCTCCCTGCTCATAGCTCCAGTCTGCTCGGTCACAGCCAGGCTCCACTTCTCCCATTCTGAGTTCCTTTTCAATCAGCTCCTGAGCTGCTTTCTCTGCTGGCTCCTTGGTTACCATCACCACCTTTCTGGGCCTCTCTGCCCTTCTGCTTCCCTTCTGTCATTTTCTGTGTCTTGCCTAAGAAATCCTCTTTATTCCTGAGCAGCTTTCCCACATTTTGGAAGCTTCCACCTGCTCTAGAGACATGTCTTCCTTTGTCCTCTTCTTGTTATCTCCCAGATTTACCAGGTGCTGAGAAATGGTTATCACTGGCATCCTAGGCATTGGGGGTGCTGCCCTTTGTCAGCAAAGAAAGATAATCTGTGGTTATTGTTTTTGCCCTATTTCCATGGGAGCAAAGATAAACTAATTTTGGTCCTATGGTTTTGAGATGCTGTCCTCAGGGCCTTTTCCCAGGCTTGGAGGACTCTAGAGATGAAAAGTCCCTTTCTTCCATCCCTGCCTTGCTCCTTGAGGTTATGTTGCATAGCACCACCTAAGATCACAGAGATTTTTTCTAGTAGGGAGCTGGCTAATCATGATGCAGGCCTTGCTGCATAGCTGCTGTGCTGTATTTCATTCCACATGATGATGGCTGTGTTGAGCCATAGTCTGTAGGGCCAGCAAACGGGTTTAGGCCATGGGGTCAACAAGGGGCCAGGTACAGTACAGCCTGGCTCCAAACTAAATGCTTAATCAAGGTATTGTATGGAGTGGTGCGAGGGTTCTGCTGAGGACAGGCATATAATTGTGTCCACACTTCCGCAGGCAGCCCCCCCCACTGGAAGTATCCCTGCTCTGTATGATAAAATGACAAAGAAGCCACCTCTTTACAAAGGCTGTGCAAAAGCCAACAAGAGATGCATCACACTCCCTAAAATGGTATCTCCTGACACTCTGCAGGACTGGAAGGGCAGAGCCACCCATTCAAGAACCAGAGAGACTGCCACACCTTGCAGTGTAAGAGCCCTTTCTGTATCTACAGTCCCATTTTGTGACCCCTGCAGACATGCTCCAAGTTTGCTACACCATTAATGCTGTTTGACGATGACTTTTGGAATCCTTGGGAGTTAACAATGCTTGTGCCTGATGAAATGCCTTGCACATGATGTGTTGCTCATGTGTTTGTACATAGTTGCAAGGTGGCTTCTTAGAGGATTGGGGAAAATGCTTCCAGAAAGATTTTACTGATTTAAAAGTCCAACTTACTTTAATGATGAAAAGGTAGCCTATGCTTTAAATAAGAGGGCTACTGAATGCTCAGCCCTTGATAAGCACATTTCTGTGAACACCCATTCCTTCTTGAAGCATTCAGTGTGGACCCATTGGTGGGACAGAGGTATCCTGCACTTTGGGTAGGAGGGGAAGCTGGTTAAAAAGCTGATGATGGCTGGTACCCATTTTGTGGAAGAGCTGGGGAGGGGTCTGGGCACCTACCCTAGGGCGGTGGATTCCATTAGGTAGTGCTATGTATAGGAGTTGGGTGTAACAATACTGATTCCATATCCCCTTTGCAGATGTAACACTGAGTCTCCACTGAGCTCCCTTTACCCACTTTTATTTGATGACAGTCTTCAAATACCAAAAGGATGATTACGAAGAGGATAGAAATAAATGCTTCTCTGTGGCTGTTGGGGACAGGACTAGGAGGAATGGCCTCAAGATGCAGCAGAGGAAATTTAGGCTGGAGATTAGGAGGAACTTTCTGGCTATGAGGGTGGTCAAGCCTTGGAACAAGCTACCCAGAGAAGTTCTGGACTCTTCATCCCTGGAAGTCGGCAAGACCAAGGTAGAGAGACAGTTGAGTGGGATGGCTCATCAGAGACAATCCTGTCTTGAGCGGGGGGCTGGACTAGATGGCCTTATGAGGTCCCTTCCAACCCTACATTCCTGTGATCCTACCCCTTCCCAGAAAAAGGACATATCTAAGCTCTGCTGATGTGAATAGCAGTAACAGCCCGGGTTCCCCTTCTCTTTTATCAGCCCTAGACAATGATCTTTTTCCTCCAGCGGCATGTGCTAAACTCTATGAGCCTGGCAGCAAAAACACCTCTGTTGCCTGGCTAAGTGTTTGAGGCATGCCTGGGGTACTACTGAAATTCCAAAACAGCTCAATGTATATCAAGGTGTCTACTGCTTGGGGTCAATTACAACAGTAAAATAAGGAAAAACTGTCCTGTTGGACTCAATTTCCACATTGCTGCCACAAAACTGCTAGTCTCTGGCTCTAAAGGCTAGAGAAACTTCAGGAGAAGCGGGGTCTTGTATAGCACTTAGGTCTGGTTTGTCTTGGAGTACATATGGCCTTGCTGATCAATTCTTTCATATCATGTCCTCATGCACCCATCTAGGTTTCTTAGTTTCTTGAGATTTTGAGGGAAGAACTGCAACAGAATAGAAGAAAGTGGGCTTTAAGTCCTATATACAGGTTCCCCTTGCTTTATGCGGGTTCTGTACATGTGAATTCACTCTTATGTGACAACCCTTTTTACACCCAAAATTTGTTATATGCAAGGTAAGTCTGTAGGGGAAGGGGCAGGGGGAGGGGCATGGCGCAGCCCAGCATCTGCAGGCAGATGTGGTCGGCCGCTCCCAGGGCTTCAGCAGGGAGCAAAGCAGAAGGAACTGTCAGTGGGTGCAAGACGCGGGGGTGGGGGGCAGCTCTTGCTGCAATGCACACTCCAGGAGGGCTGTGGGCTGGGGGGCTGTGCCAGGCTCTTCCTGGGGGGCATGTGCCCCTGGATCTGCACATGGGACAAGGGCAGGCTGCTGCTGCGGGCTGGGGCTGGCGGCGGCACTGGGCTCCTCCCAGCAAGGGGCTGGGCCGCACTGTGCATGGGGTGGGTAGCGCTGAGAGCGGTAGGTTGGCGGGCTATGGCGAATTTTGAGGTGGCTGCAGCCCCCCTCCCAGTGCCACTACTGCCCACCCTGAGTGCAGTGCAGCCCATCCCCCTGTCGGGAAGAGCCCAATGCTGCTGCCAGCCCCAGCCTGCAGTAGCAGCCTGCCCTCATCCCGCATGCAGATCTGGGGGCACATGCCCGCCCAGAAAGAGCCCAGCACAGCCCCCCAGCCCACAGCCCTCCCAGGGTGTGTGGAGCAGCAAGAGCTGCTCTCCCTACCCGCGTCCCGCACCCACTGACAGTTGCCTCTGCTTTGCACTCTGCTGCAGCCCCGGCAATGACCAACACCACTTGCTTACAGCCACTGGGCTGCGCCATGACCCTCCCATCACCCCTTCCCTAGCCTCAGCCCTAGCCCCACTCCTTCCCTCATTGCCATGAGGACATACTCCTATTTCTTACCTTATAAACTGGGTTCCCCTTATGCAAATTTGAGTTATGCGCAGTTTTCTGGGAATACATGTACCGCATAACATGAAGGAAACCTGTAGTCACCATTTTGATCACCTCCCACAATCTTCTTATGGAAACAGGCCAGAAAAACTGCACCTAGAATAGAGCATAATTGAATCAGGAAACAAGTACTGCATTGAGAAGGCCTCCACCCCCCACAAAGGGAAGCTTCTCTTCAAGGGAAGGGGTAGTCGGGCCGGTTCTGCCTGCTGAGCCTCCCAGGGAGATTTTAAAGCGTGGTTCATACTGGCCAAAAAAACTGGGTGAGCATGGACCTAAATTTTCCCACTGAGGCACCACCTCAGCTTCTCCCAGTGGCAACACAGCACTGGCTGTGCTCTCTGCTTAAGCAATGGGCGGGGGGGCAGGTGGGAGCTCCAGTCGGTGAGATTGACCACAGGGGACACCCCCCCACCCAGTCGGGGGGGGGGGGGGGGGACATGCCCCCCCTGACTGCGGCATATGCCCCTCCTGACTAAGGTGGTACCAGTTGCCCGTGGCCTCTCTCCACTCCGTCTTAGTCACACCATTGTGTTCAGGCAACTAGAGGAGAAAGTCTTGGTGCTGGGTACCTGCTCTCCAAAGGATGGGCTGCAGTAGTGTTCTGGTACCTTCTTCCCCTTTGCTAGCAGTGTCCTTGACCCCCTCCTGCTCCCAACTCCTGGATATGTTCTCAACCTCACCTTGCAACACCCTTGAGAGTCCATGTTGTTGGCAACTGACATAAGCAAATAAGGTTGAATAGTATCAGAACTGGAGGAGAAAGATATGGAGGGGGATGGGAGTTGTGCTGGAGAATGCATATAAAGGATGATGCCAAAGGCACTGTGTCACACACAGGCTGCTGAGGTTCTCTGGGACTTAAAAGTTCTGTCCTGTCAAGAACCGTGAGCCCCAAAGAGAAGGCAGGATGTTACCTTGGGTTCTTGGCATTCTTGGGGTGCTCTGCATTGTGGCCAGTGCTGCCCCCAGCAAACTACTGAACTGCTGTGAGTATTGGGCCTTCCGAAGGCACATCTATACCATACCAGACTATGCTAGGGGGCACCACCTTGAACCTTCCCCCATCCCTCCCTGCCCTGCCCACAGTCTGAAGTGGTATGGACACACACCTCAGAATCCCTAGGATTGCGGTAGGGAGGACTGACAGCCATCAAGGCATACTTGTGGCATGTGGCCTTCTCCTTCCCCTGCCAACCCCTTAGCAGCACTGGAAGCAAGGTGTTCCAGCATGACTTATGAGGAAAGACTAGGGGAACTGGGCTTATTTAGTCTAGGGAAGAGGGGACCGAGATGAGACTTCATAGCAGTCTTCAACTACCTGAACGGGGGTTTGAAAGAGGATGGAGCCAGACTGTTCTCAGTGGTGGCAGATGACAGAACTAGGGGCAATGGTCTCAAGTTGCAGCCAGGGAAGTTTAGGTTAGGTATTAGGAAGAATTTTCTCACTAGGACGGTAGTAAAGCACTGGAACAGGACACCCAGAGAGGTGGTAGAAGCTCCATCCTTGGGGGTTTTCAAAACCTGACTGGACAAAGCTTTGGCTGGGATGATATAGTTGGGGCTCATCCTGGTTTGAGCAGGGGGTTGGACTACATGACCTCCTGAGGTCCCTTCCAACCCTAACTTTCTATGATTTTATAAGGACATTAACTGAGACAGGGAATCCAAGGTAGTTCAGCATTACTCTGGAGGCCCACTTGCTTCTGTCCTCTCCTTCCTGACAGAGCACAGATAAGGAAATCAGCAGAGGTGGCATGGCATCTCAAGGGTTCCCATGGCTGGTGACTGTCCCCAGCCCCCAAAGGAAGTAAATCCCTGAGGGCTGATTTCCTCAAGGGGAACTCCGATGCCTTATCCCATCATTAGGTGAAGCTCCAGGGACGCTTATATGTACTGACAAATGTCTGTTCCTCTCTGTTCCCAGCCATCCCTGCCAACAAGCAGTACCTGGTCAATGACTTGCAGCACCAGATGGAGAACTCTGTCAAGCCACTGAGCCTGCCAAACCCCAGCATCCTCATTGCTATGAACCTTGCTGGTAATGCGGACATCCAAGTGCGCAAGAAGCTGATCCAGCAGATAAAGAATGAGTCTGTTGGAAAAGTGACAGGTAGGAGGCTCAGTGCTAGTTTCCTCTCTAGGCATCTGATCCAAAGTCCACTGAGGATGATGACTGCATTGTTTCCAAAGGTCATGAGAGCCAGGTTATCTGCATGGGCCTTATCACCCTTCCCCAGCAGTATTGCTGACCAGCCAGGTGTTCTACCTATAGATGTGGAACTGCTATATGCTTGTGTCCTGTCCTTTGGCTACTTCGTATAACTACAGCTGGCTCCTTGAGAAAAACACCTGATGACCCATTTTCACCATGTAATCAATAATGAAAGTGATACTTCCTAGTTATTACAGAGAAGAATGTCCCTTCATATGGCAGCACTTTGCTGAGTTTGGGGATGGTTTTAGAATCATAGAAAATTAGGGTTGGAAGGGATCTTAGGAAGACATCTAGTCCAACTTGCTGCTCAAAGCAGAACCATCTCCAACTATAGCCAAGGTTTTGTCTACCTGGGCCGTCAAAATTTCTAAGGATAGAGATAGCACAACCTCTCTGGGCAACCTGTTCCAGTGCTTTACTATCCTCCGAGTGAGAAAGATTTTCCTAATATCTAACTTAAACTTCCCACCTCCACTTGTTAAAAGTATGTTATATCTCCATAGTCAAGCGCTGAAAAGCCAGGCAATAACCCAATAAAGATTTCATATGGAACCTCATCTCTGTCCTTTTGCACGGCTGTCACAAGAGGAGAAAGCCACGTGAAGGTGAAAACCTCTCTATATTAAGAGTAGCTGGAGGCAAAAGGGAGGAAGGAGAGACAGGGTGTCTATACACATGCTCCGAGGTGGGGGCATTATAGTTAGGAGCAGCTCCGGGACAGCCGCTCTAACTAAAACGCCGCAGCATCACATGTATTCAGCAGTCCACATTTCAGTGTTTGAAGGAGTGCTTTAACTAAAGCTCATTCGACGTTCGACATTGAACGAGCTTTAGTTAAAGCACCCCTACCACCATTTTGAAACTTGGGACACTGAATAATTAGAATGCTCCTGCAGACTTCATTAATCAAATTTGCTCCGATGTGTTCTAATTTAACACATCAGAGCATGTGTATCGGCACCCTTAGCTATAACACTTTCTGCTCTGAAGCTTTTTTTTAGGTTGAAACTGAGATCTGTTTATCCAGCTATCTCCTGAGAACAGCTCTTTATAACTCACCCTAGTCATGCCCTACAACAGGTTAGCAAGGGGCATTCTAAATCCAGTGAGGACTGAAAGGCAGAGAGTCTGGGTTCTGGATTGAGGCCCCTTCTTCTGCTTCTGTGACAATTCACCTGACCTCTCTGTTCCTTAGTTCCCCAACTGCATAGTGAGAGCAGCAGCCCTTCCTTTGGCTGTCTGGTCATTTTAGACTGCAAGCTCTTTGAGTGTCTATACATGTGCTCTGATGCGTTCTAATTAAAATGCTCCAGAGTGCCTTGCTGTCATGTACATTAAGTGAACTGCATTTCAAAATGGCTGTGGGGGTGCTTTAACTAAAACTCATCGAATAAGCTTTAGTTTAAGTGCCTCTGTGACCATTTTGATATGCAGAATGTTTAATACGTGTGACACAACAGCATTTTAATTAGAGTGGCTGTCTGGAAGCCACATGAACACATGTACAGACACTCTTGGGGGCACCAGCTGTCTCTTACTACATATTTGGGCAGCACCAAGCACCATGGGGTCATGGTCTCAGCAAAGGACACTAAGCAGTACCAAGCCAGAAATAATAACAGATAAAAGCTGCACTTTAAAGAAGAGTGTTGTTAAGAGCTGAAATATAGATCTCAACCTGTTATTAACAGCCTCTCTCCCCTGAAATGCCACATGACACCCTTCACATGCACTTACAAGCAGTACCTCATTTTTACATCCCAGTAAAAAGACCTGGATATACCAAGGTCCCAGGGGCCATTCTGACTCAACAGAAAAAACAGCAAGTCCCAACCAATCTTCTTAGTACAGTACTAGGAACCTGGCTACAGCAACTCACTGCATGGAAATCCTCTCTCTTCTAGGGTTCATGTGAATATAGCAAAGACATGACCCTACAGCAGGGGTGGGCAAAATGCGGCCCACGGGCCAGATGTGGCCTGCCAGGCCATTCTATCCGGCCTGTGGGGCCCCTAAAAAATTTAGAAAATAGTTATCTGCCCCTAGCTGCCTGTCATGTGGCCCTCAATGGCTTGCCAAAACTCAGTAAGCATCCCTCCCCCCAAAATAATTACCCACCCCTGGCCTACAGGGTGCCATTTATCCCTACATAACAAATGGTTGGCCT